TACGCTGAACACGAATATGATGTTTATTTTGTGCGGCAGCACCATAAGGTGGAGTTACGGTGAGCTATCGGGCAAATCTGGGTTTAGCCTCCACCGTAACTCCACCTGTTGGCGCTATCCCGCGAAATAAACATCATACTTGTGTTCAGCGTGCCAGGTAACCAGCCTACCCCCTTACCCCAAGCCTGCCGTAACTCAACCGTATGGCGCTACCGCGGGAAGTGAACATCATATTCGTGTTCAGCGTACCAAATAATCCCCCTATTCGAAGTTTCAGCAAAATTCATGATTTTCATTTTTTGTGTCAACTAACTGGGATAGTACCAATTTTTTCAGTCATCATGAGGAATGTCCAGTAATATTGACAAAACGTTCTACTCACTTGCTATAATAATGCACAGAACAAGCCGCTTCCGCATTCCGCAGCTCTGCTTCCAGAGCTGCCAATTCCCTTTCCGCTTTCTCCAAACTCTTATTGACATTGCGCTGTTCTGCAGTAACAGATTCAATCGGGAAAGGGAAAGTTTACACAAAAAATGCTTACCGGTGCGGACCGCCATTGAGCTTTCATCATAGAAGGAGTAAAATTTGGTAAGATTTTCTAAAGTTTCCGCGTTAAGCGCAAACGACTCCTTGGCTTCCTTCGGAGGCTTGACCACGCTTTCGCCAACCTGGAAAGGTACATGAATTCAGACTTTTGCAGGTAGAGCAAGAAATATAATTTACAAAGCAAACGCAAAGAAAAAGTCAGCAAGAGACATGTCTGACCTCTCCAACAATCTTGTCCAACACTTCCACTCTCCTTTGCAGAACGCTCTGACGATCTTTCAGCGCGTTTACTTCCTGAGATTTCTCTTCAACCTTCGCTCGCAGAGCAGCAACCTGAAAAACTCGGTATGTAATTTTGTTTTTGCTGAAGTTCGGTGGTACCTTTGGAGAGTCCGTCTCTTCCTGAACAGCAGGTCTGTCGCGAAGTTGGACTTCATGAATGACGCCATCACCACGTCCGTCCACTCGGACCGAGTCGTAAATGATATGCTGTGTGACGTTCTGAAAAAAAAAACGCGATATATGGATATAAACGAGCCTGTCATAGACTGAGGATCTTTGTTGGGAACATCCCTTTTGCTAACAACGAATATCATTTAAGCAAGAAATAAAGGAACATCAGAGTGCCCATTCATCATGCCTGATATCTCAACAAACCACAAACTCTAATACGCTGGTAACTCATGAAAACATGAAACAATGATGAATGTTTGCAGAGGCTTTTTTGCCATTGATGACGGAAAGCGCCCTCCAGAATTATTCTACAATGTGAAACTTGTGCAACTGCACCACTAGCCGTTCACGAGGACAGCGATACCACCTGATCGCTAATCATTTGTCAAAAAGTGTCATTACGCTTGAAGAGGGAACTGTCAACGTGCACATAGTCTAATTGTTGACCGCAGGGACAGGATATCAAGGGGTGTAGGGCGTTAGGCGACAAACCCAAATTCTTGTACC